AAACCTGCCAATTGTACGATTACGGGTCTGAAACGTAGTCTTCTGCTTTTAGGGGAGAACATAAATTACATATTAATATATTGGGGGCACGCTGTAGCGTAGTTGGTTGAGTCACTATGCTAGAAGCCTGGATGTCTGGGGTTCGAAAATCGATGTGGTGGAATTTTTAAATTGACCTAAACTTTCCAGCCTCACTATGGCCCTTTGGTCGACTCAGCCTCTAAGAGAAATGAGTACCAGGATTCTTCCTGGGGGGTAAAGGGCGGCCGGCGCGTAGGCCTGACAACCTTACTGCCATGTGAGCCGATTGTCTAGAGAAAATGTGGGAGCTTCGACGTCTCACAACCTTATGGACCTCCACGGTCTGTTACAAGGATAACTTTATCTTTTTTAAATACATTTTTTCCTTGGCACTACAGCCCCAGTGGGCCTAAGCCTATCTCCATGAACTTCTCCGTTCACTTCGGTTTTTCTAGATCTTACGCATATGGTAGGACTCCTTGGGCGGGTGATCAGCTCGTCGCAAACACACAAACTCAGAAAAACGCACCCACACAAACTAAACATCCATGCCCTGAGCGGGATTCGAACCCACGATCCCGGTTTCAAAGCGAGCGAAGACAGTACGTGCCTTAGACCGCTCGGCTACCGTGACCGGCTTTTATATATAAGATTTGAGGCTTTCACGGCGGTGACTATGAAGAAAGCAGTCTTCTGGGATTTGGCACCGATTTGGCTTTTATATAAATTACATATTACAAATGTTCAGAAACTAACTTGCTCAGGAAAATATTTGGACATAAGGATAATTGAGTAAATGGGAATTTTAGGATGATTACATCTGGATATGTGTCCCCTTTAATACCGTGTTTACGCATGTATAGGCCGCACATTTTTTGCCAAAAATTCAAGAGGAAGACTGGGGTGCGGCTTATATTCGAAATATTCGAAATCACACTTCATTTAAAAAAAATATATATTCATAATTAGTAATACAGGGTGTTCTACTCCTGAAATAATATTCCAAGAAAATTATTTTTTCTATAATTTCTGTCTGAAAATTGTGCTGCGGCCTATACACGCACGCGGCCTATACATGCGTAAATACGGTAATATTACGGACATTTGACCGATTTTTATTATCGCTTGCAAGCTTAATTTCATGCACATAATATTAAAATTCTAGTTCCTCTCTCCCAGAACACATTGCGTCTCCATTACGGAGACAAATTGATTTAAGCTCTTTGCAGAAAAAATCACTGTTTATTCTGAAAGTCGTAAGAAACAAAAAAAATAAATTAAATTTGTAAACGTAGTGTTTTGAATATTAAAGATGACGTTACATGTGTTAACCAGTGTGTACCCAGGCAGTAATCACAGATACATGAAAAATATATTGCTAGATACATACGTAATTGTTAATTTCCTGCTCTCGATAAATCCAATTATTGCAGTGCATGCTTCTGTGTTGGGGAAAACCTACTGTTACTTAGTTTCGCTCCCTCGAATTTCGTGAGGAAACATCTCCCAAGATATAAACTTTTGCCATATACTTCTATATGTACTTTTATAATCATGAGAGTTATCATTGTTAGTAGGAACTTTTTGTAGGCTTAGCAATAAACTGTTGAGGGTCGGCAGGTCACAGGAACGTAAGTTAGGTAGAAGGTCACGAACAAGAGAATAATCTTTCACTTTCGCTTGTGGTGTCTTTTCTGTGAGTATTCATGGATAATTACTACTGAATATTTGGCATGCTTTCCGCGGGAGATGGCCTTAAGGAGCCAGAGTTACTTCACGGCTGGCGGTTTATCTCCAATCAGTTCGTCTTGGCGACAAGCCCCTTGAGACTCACGACCAGTATTATTTTCTTCAACTAAACACTTGCGTTCATAGTCCTTATCTAGCATCCTCTCTCACGAGAGGATCAATCTGTCGTTTGCAATTGCTGCTGGCCCTCGCCAACGCAGTATTCTCAGGTCGGTGGCCCGCGGAACTCATAACCACATTTTACTGCCTCAGATTCAAGACTCCCCCCAACCTGGAGGGCCAGATTCCCGTATTTATATCCCCCAAGAACAGGGTGGCCCAATTATACGCCACGTGCTGGGTTCTGTTTCCGTCTCCTCCTAGGCCTCGCAGGGCTACGGTGGAGGTTATTGACCCGCCTCAACATGGGTTTGACGTTAAACATCAACCTCGACGCCTCGTTCGATAACTTGTAGATCCGGAAAGGAATACGGGAGAAAACAAGGAAGTTAATAGCACGAAAGCTTGTATAAGAAATGTGTGGACTCCCCGTTGCGTTCTCCTCTGGTGTTGCTCTAGTATGTAATGCAATTCTTTTGTTGCTAATGGGGTGGGACTAAGTCCCTTGGACTGCGGCCACTTCTGTCTTATTGTACCAGCCCCAGATGATAGGTGAGGGTGATTGTGGAGCAATTGGTGGAATAAAGATTGGCAGGAGAAACCGAAGTACTCGGAGAAAACTTTCCCCAGCGCCACATTGTCCACCACAAATCCCACTTGACCAGACCCGGGATCGAACCCGGGCCTCAGGGGTGGGAAGCCAGCGACTTAATGCCTTAAGCGCGGCCTTTATGACATTTATTTGCTTGACCACTAAGCAACTGAGATATATTTCATTCCGTTTTAAACTTGCCAAATCTCTAGCAGCTGTTGGCTGCACGATTTGGCTTTCAGCTGATGATTTCACTAACAGATATTAATTCGTAGTAACCCCATATACATTTGCAGCCGTACATTATTTTAATACAAATGACCAGAATGTTCAAAATAAAATAAACAATTGCTATCTCTAGCTAAAGTTTCGACAGGCAATTCTTCCGCTCATCCACTGTTATATATTGAAACGCGAGTTCGCTGAATGTCCGCTCTATGATATTAATAATGGGACATTTTTTCCGTCTTAGGTACACTGCCGCATGGTGGTCCAACTGGTAACTACTAACAGCTATGACATTAACATAACGACAAAATAAATGTCACAATAACGAAAGAATGGCAGGCAACCTTCGGGATTTTGTGTGTTAATTTATACAATGTTCTTATTAAATTGTTTATTTGTTTAAGTTTCTATTCTCTCCCCTACAAAAGTGTCGGCATTTGAAGGAACGTGATCTCCACAAATCCTTTATAGAAGTTGATGTTAAGTTTAACGATTCCTAAACTCGTAAAACTGTTGGAATAACATCTTCATCCTGGCTAAAATACTGCTCTAATATTCGGCGAAGAATACACGAGACCCGAAAGTTAAGTGCCAAACCGACAAATGAATGGTCATTTAAAAGTAAAAAGGCAAAAACTGGTATGTGTTGCTGTGACAGGCGATTCTCCTTTATAAGTATGTTTTTTATATCCTATTTTATTTTGCTATCTGTAAAAAGTTACAATAAGCAAAAGGTAGATTCATATGATATTGGCTTGTGGGTATTTAAAGGTCCTTCCAGGTTCGAGAATATATAGCGTCGTTTTACAGGATGATGATCAGTTGAAAAGGATTGGAAAGGAGGTGATCATGACTTGATCGAGGTGCTGTTCCGGTATTTGCAGGGGTGACATGAGGGTAGCCAAGAAATCTTGTCTTCCACCCGTGATCCAAAGCGATAACCTTCCGGATAGAAATCTAGAGCGACATCTAACCAGACTTAACAGTGTATGGTGAAATGAAGAGCTTATTCTGGGTTAGAAAATCTATGTACAAATCAGGGAAACTGGACTACAAGAGGTCGTGACGATAAGGTAACTTCGCTGCAGAGTCTTCTTCAGCAGCCATTTTATGGAAACCGGAAATTCATCACCGTATTCACAATTCGACCGTAGTTCCAACTAGTTCATAATTTACATTAAGTGAACATTATTGGTAAAATTAGGCAAAGTTGCAATTTGTACTAAAGTACATACTACATCAATACAAGACCAGGAAGGACCCCAAAGAAATATACTCGTATTGGTAGAGGAAAGGCATCCACACTACATCCAGACAAATAAGAAGAAATTCCATTATATAAGTTTAATTTTAGCAACTTAACATTTTAATAATTAATATTTAATCTTGTAGATGAACACGTTTATATATGTATATACATTGGTATTACATACTATTAAAACCAGTATTCTAATATGTAAACCTTGGCCAATGTAAGAATACTAGCAGATGAATATAACGTATTTACGCATGTATAGGCCGCAGCACAATTTTCAGACAGAAATTATAGAAAAAATAATTTTCTTGGAATATTATTTCAGGAGTAGAAATTATTCCGAAATTTGGCAACGTTAATTTTTTTTAAATGAAGTGTGATTTCGAATATTTCGAATATAAGCCGCACCCCAGTTTTCCTCTTGAAATTTTGACAAAAAAATGTGTGGCCTATACATGTGTAAATACGGTAGGTGAGTGTAGAAATGTCAAATACTTGACATGTCAACCCGACCTGAAAATAAAATAAAGCGCTTTAAAAAATACGTTTCAGATGCAGCACCCCCCTCCCCCAACCCCAGTAACTGCACGTTCAGGAACCTTGATTGATAACTAATTTCATGGAGCTATGCCGTTCTTAAGAAGCCGCCCTCTGTGTAGCTACTCAAGAACTTACCAGCATTTTATGGAACCAGCACGCTGGTTCCTCGCTCGCGGATTTTTCATTTTTCTTCTACCCTGAAATGGGGGCGATACGTTCCTCCGAAACTTCTGTTAACACAATATCTACACGGCACCACATCCCAGAAGACGGCATTCTTCATAGTCACCGGCGTGAAACCCTCAGATCTTACAGGGAAATATATGTTGATACCCACGGCAAAACTTCAATTTCCTGCCATCAATCACAGTGCGAGTCTCTGATGCTCACTTGAGATCTCGTCCAACCGTGCCATTAGCACTTGAAGTAGCTGCTGAATTACTGATTTCTATAATTATTAGAACTGTTATCTTTGTTTGTATCATTAACATTTCGCCGGTTTCTTTCCTTTTTCAGATATGCTTACGTCAATAAGAGCAGTCTTGATACGAAGCAAATGAACGCGAGAGGCGGAAAACAGAAGAGACTTTTACTATAGGCCATAAAAGTAAGGAAAATTACTTAATAGTTTTGTACTTGGTGTAAATATGTGTATGGTATGTTTACTGGAGGCCGGTCACGGTAGCCGAGCGGTCTAAGGCATGTACTGTATTCGCTCGCTCGGAAGCCGGGATCGTGGGTTCGAATCCCACTCAGGGCATGGATGTTTGTGTGTGTTTTTCTGTGTTTGTCTACAGGTAGAGGCCTTGCGACGAGCTGATCACTCGCCCAAGGAGTCCTACCGTATGTGTTAAGATGTAGAAAAACCGAAGTGAACGAAGTTCATGGAGGTAGGCCTAGGCCCACTGGGGCTGTAGTGCCAAGGGGGAAACAATATTTACTGGAGAAAAAGCTTCCAATTGAGATAATTTTAAGTGTAAGGTATTTTGAAAAAAAAAAGTATCATGATCGCATGTACGTAACTTTCGAAGAGACATCCGGAAATGATTAATGGGTTTCATTCTTGTGACATTTAACAGCGCCCTTTCTCTTACAGCTTACGGTGATGAATCAAGGCGACTGAGATCGGATTAGGCATTTAACACAAATGGGAGAAATGAGAAATGTATACGAAATTTTAGTTGGAAACCCTGAAGAAAAAAGAGACAATTTTAACCCCGAGGAGTAAATGGGCAAACAAGGCCGCGCCATAGCTCAAGCGGTTAGTCTCTGGCTTCCCACCGCGGCGGCCCGGGTTCGGTCAAGTGGAATTTGTGGTGGATAAAGTGGCGCTGGGGCAGTTTTTTTTTCCGAGTACTTCGGTTTCCCCTGCCAATCTTCATTCCACCAATTGCTCCACAATCACCCTCACCTATCATCTGGGGCTGGTACAATAGGCCAGAAGTGGCCGCAGTACAAGGGACTTAGTCCCACCCCACTAGCAATAAATAAAAAAAAAATACTGTTTAACAGCCCTATGGAAGAGCAACTTGTTGCTACCTCTCATTTCATTTCTGCAGTGCAAACTTTTACCATTCCTTTAAGCACACAGGACAGTTAATCCAGTTCAAACCCCTTTTTACTTTTTGTTAGACAAACCAAATTTTATGACGCAACTCTCTCCCTCTTAGTATTAACATCGCTTTTTATGTACTCTTCAAATGTTAATGGTTTCTCCTCTTTAATTTTTTTGTCTCATAATGAAGCTAAACTGCCTGTAGGTCATAACACTACATGCCATTTCCTTGAATATGCACGCTACGTGGATTTCGTTATGCGTGTTCAGTGCCGTCAGCATTGGTTAGGAAAAGTAGGCCAGTTATCTGTAGCCAGACAGAAAGTTAAGACAAGCAGAGCGACGTAACGAAGCTCAATCAGTTGGTCGAAACACCTCGAGTGCTCGTAGCTGGTAGCAGCCCAACATATTATGGTGGTCCCTCATAACCAGTCACGAAATTAGGCTTGCTTCAGGCTAGTCACCTTTTGCACACGCACATGCTAATACTTATAATTTGTAAGACTGTAATTGTTGCTCGACTTCTTGTCTTTTTTAAACGATTATAAAAGTACCTTGCCTAGAGCACTGTAAGGTTAAGAACGATTAGGTGTGAGATATTTTAATTTTGATACAGTATACTTCATAACAAAACANGCAGATTTCTTATATTTTTTCTTCTACCCTGAAGATGGAGGCGATACGTTCTTCCGAAACGTCGGTTAACACCACATATACACGGTGCCAAATCCCAGAAGACTGCTTTCTTCATAGTCACCGCCGTGAAAGCCTCAAATCTTACAAAACAATGAGTTCTTGGAAGAGCGAATCGCCTAATTTCCTTTGATAGCACATGGACTGCATATGTAAAACGACGTGTCTAACAATTATTCTATTGTTGCTTGTGTAACCGTTGTCACGATAATGTTTTTACCGAATCCCCTGTGGAGGCGGGGGCGAATACCTCCACCGAAGCTCTGCGAGTCGTAGGAGGCGAAGGAATGGGAAACCAGTGCCTGAAGGTATAATCGGGTCATCCTGTACCTGGGGGGATATAAATACGGGACCTCTCCAGACAGGCTCTGGGGCCCGCCCAGACTCCTATCCAATGAATATCGGGGACTCTTTCTCCAGGAGTAAAGCGACCGGGGCGTAAGGCTGACCAGTCACCTTCAACCAGTGCCGAGGTCAAGAAAATGTGTATCTATACATCCACTCCCCCATACGTCTTCATGGCGTAGTTCTTAATTAGTTAAGCATAGGGACAACTTTTTACTGCTAACCGTGGAATTTCCCCATGATCCTCTTGTTTCTTCTCTCGTCAGCAATTCGTTCTCAAACACCATCAATCTGCTTGCAGCATATTTTTTTCTTATAGCAGTTTTTCTCAACCGGTGGGACGGGTCCCGCTGGTGGAACTTCACGGCCGACCGAGTGCGACAAGAGATCTACAAAAGAAGAACTGAATTCAATAATTAATATTGGAACTGTGAAAACGCGCTCAGGGAAGAGGGGAGGCTTCGCTGTTGCTGCGATGTGGGTGCAGCTTTTCGACAAAATGGCCCCTGGACACAAGCAGACCTCATTGCGTTAGTTTAGGAACCGAGTATCAGCTCGTGCAAAAATCTGTGGGTAAAATTATAGAGTTTTTTTTATTCTGAACGTTTTTAGAAAGGAGACGGTTAAATAAAAATTGTGAACTGAATAATAGCGAGCATTTCCCGACTTCCATCTGCTCTTAACTTCTTTCATAATCTACAGTTGATTTATTATTATCATTCGTAAATTGTTTGAAATTCGCTACGTATTTAAAGGATATTATATTCTCTTTAATTGCTTCCATTGCAATGTGTGGTTACGACTGATTATGTTGTATATTTCTTATATGAATATATTACTGTCACATGTATTAGTGACTAAAAGCGCTGGTTTGGATCGGTGAGTCGATTTCTTGGATATTCACTAGGCGTAACTACAAATAATTTTAACAGTTTCATCATTACTGTAATTATAACACACAAATAAAATCTTATATATATGTTTATACAAGTCGTTGCTGGGTAACAGATCTAAACAATGGTTATTCCTCTGCAAAGTGTTCCCTATTCGCTTCCTGGCAACGGATTTTAACACAGGAACTATAATTGTCACACTCCAGATATCGCTGCACTACAGCACATGAAGTCTTCAAATCACATGCTAAGTCTTCACAGGCCAACTTCTAAGTCTTCTTCTACTACAAATTTCCATTAGCTCTCTCCTACCGAGAACTGACTGACTCGTAGCGCCGATTGTCTTCAAGATAACTCCTCTCTCGGACCCCACGGAAAACACCGTTGCCTAGCAACAGACGTCCTATTTTTCCGTGCGTTTGCTTGGCATAGATCACATAGAAAACACAGTTTCCCATATATTGTTGTCACGTTTAGAAGGGGGGTTACTGGCCGTCGCGTAGAAACTTCAGTTCTATTGTTGCTTGTATTCGTTGCCGTAAGAATGTTTACGGACATTCCTCTATTGTTATAGAAACGCCCCATGTGTCACTTCAGTAGAAACTGTGCAGAATGCGGTCTCTGATATTACATAACTCCACTTCAGACATCTATAGAATAGCATGTAATGACGTACCGAGATTGATCGAAATAATATTTGTGCAACTGGCGAAATTCGTGATTGATCTGTACGTGCTGAACTGTGCCGTTGAGCTTTGTTTTGCACATAGGCCTACATCTAAGGAGCATTCTAAAGTCATTAAGGTGATAAAATAAACGAGGATAAGGTGTGAAACACGCTTATCTAAATAAACGGTTAAGAATATTTACAAATTCTTAGTCGGAAAGACTGATATGAACAGATCATTTGGTAGATGTGAAGTCATTTTAAGAAGGATCTTAAACAAGAAGGGCGTGAAGAGATGTTGTAGACTCAACAGTCTCGGAATGGATTCCACAGAAGTTGAGTAATTTATTGACCAATTATCACATTCTCAACAAGGACTCTGCTACATGGAGCTGTTATAGGGCTATTATAATAGGTAAAACTATATCTGTAATAGGCCGTGAAGGCTCATAGGGTTTTGAGACGTCGAAGTTCCCATATCTTGTAAACAATCGCCTAAAAGTTTGTCAGCCTTACACGCCGGCCGCCCTTTAGCCCTCGAACTATAACAAATTTTATCTTATTGTCTGTCGGCGAGGATTAGCACCGTGATGCGTAGTCCCTGAAAACCCGATCGTAATGTAAATGGTGAAGAAAGTGCCTTCCTTTCATTGCTCTGGTCACAAGTGTTGTCCATTGGATCACATCCTAAGCACATTAATCCACTCTTCGCTTTCACTCCGCTTTTCCAAATCTGTTTATTACCATCGTCAAGTCTATGCTTAGGTCTTCCACGGGATAGATTCCATTGAAAGTATCCGATTAAAATGTCTGGACATTGTTCATAACACGCATGCTCAATGCATGTTCCCAACTTGTTTCAGTTCCCTCATTTATACATCGCGAAAGTTATACATTGTGTAGTGTCTGAGGTTCTCCCATCGGTGGTTGTATAGAGTCTTCCCTTCTGAGATATGTCGCTATGTAGTCCTCAGATCGTACGTAATATTCTTCTATTAGGTGTCTACTCTTCGCTTTCAACTACCGTATTCTAGCAATAAATAGCCGCACATTTTTTGCAAAAAATTCAAGAGGAAAACTGGGGTGCGGCTTATATTCGAAATATTCGAAATCACACTTCATTTAAAAAAAAATATATTCATAATTAGTAATACAGGGTGTTCTACTCCTGAAATAATATTCCAAGAAAATTATTTTTTCTATAATTTCTGTCTGAAAATTGTGCTGCGGCCTATACACGCACGCGGCCTATACATGCGTAAATACGGTAATTTCGCTGCTTTCATACCTATGGCCTAGCATATGTTTCTGCGCAGGCGCTCTACTTACGTTTGGTTCAGTAGTTCTCAAGTTTTCTCCTCCCATCATAACAAAACACTTGCAGTTGTGCCTTAAACCACTCTTTCTCCGCTTCTTTCCATGACGGTTGGACATCCCAGATGGAGCATAATCAT